GCTAAGCCAGGAGCCCGACGTGGGGCTTGATCCCAGGACCCTGGAATCATGACCTGAGCCGAAGGCAGACGCTTAACCATCTGAGCCACCCAGGCGCCCCAGGAGGCAATTATTATATCCACTTTATGAATGAGGAAATGACACTTTGCCAACGTTAAGCCACTTGCCCAAAGTTACTGAACTGGTAAGCGTCAGGAGTTCCAGCCAAGGCCATTTGACTCCAAAGCCTCTTTAGATTCTTTTTTTAAGGTTCTGTTTTAAGGACAGGGATGCACTTGGCATTTCTTGTTCTTTCATTCTGAATAAAGTTGGGAAACATTCTCCTTTATTTGGTCCAGTGGGCCTAGGGGCTGCTTGCACACCTCCCCTGCTTTTGTTGGTAGCCCATTTCGCCCTCTCCTGAGGAGTGCTTTGCCTCCTGAAGTCAGAACTCTCTAAAGCTGAAATCTGCCTCCGTGGATCCCAGCTGAGCATGGCACGCTGCCCACCGCAACTGAGCTCTTTGGCCCCAGCCCAGCCCGCCTGGCCGCTCCCCTGGGTCTCCTTCCCCTCACTCTCCCCTCCCTCCTGCAGATCTCCCTTCCGTGCTCTGAGACTCAGTTTATTCCTAGGAGGGGCCGGATGCCTTCCTTGCGAGGAGGTAGCGAGGGGTCTGCTAAAGTGACACAGAGTGCACTCGACGAATGCCCGCCTGGAGCCGGAATGGCCATCCTCCCAGCTGCCTGCGGGCAGGGGCTGGCGCTCCTCCCCCCGCCCCGCTGCCCGGCCCGGCCGCCCCGCCCCAAGGGCGGCTCCCTCCCGCGCCCTGCCCACCGCGGCCGAACGACCGCCAAGCCCCCGCCCAGCCGCCCGGAACCAGCTGAGCGCAGCTGGACCCAGCAGCAGCCGTCCGCAGCGCCTCAGCCGCAGGTAGGGGTGGGGGACGGCCACGGCCCCGGACATCTTGGGGATCCCGGGTATCTGGGTCCTTCTTCTCCCTCCCCTCCCGGTCCGAGCTAGCCCGCGTCTGGAGCTCGTTCCGGCAGCGGGGAATCGCTGGAGAAGGGCTTCCTCCCTCACCTTGCTGGTCTTCCAGGGGACCAAGAAAGGTTGGACTGGGGGGCTAGGGCCGGGGAGGAAGGGGGCCGGGCCTCCACCTACAGGCCCCGCTAGGCTGGGCTGCAAGCACCTGAGCTAACCTTGACCCCGCCCCCGCGGGTGGGGGAACTGGGTTCGGAGTCACCCCGGCACTCGGTGTATCCCACCCGGGCTTGCAGGTAGCCGCGCGTCCGCGGTTTGGGCGGTGGCTCCGCCGGGGAGTCTGCTCAGCGGATCCCTGACTCCAAGGTAATAATGCCTTTGCCTGCTCTCCGCGGGCGATGAGGAACCCTCCACCTCCTTCCTTTTTTTGGGCCCAGGACTGTTAGAAACTTCTTCCTTGTACTCGTCTGAAATCTGCTTGCATTTGTTACCTGAAGGTGCCTTCTCCTCGGCCCTGCAGTGTACGTTCTTTTCTCTGACTCACACGGAAACTTCTTTCAGAGTTGACAACAGTGATTGTTGTCTCCCTTTCTCCTTGGGCCTCTATCTCTTCTGGGGGCTAATCACCCCCCGGATCTGGTCACAGCATTGTCCAGATCTGGTCTAGTGCAGGCCGGCTGCTCTGGGCGGTGGCCAAGGGTAAGCCCACGTTTTTGGAAGGCGGGGGCGCCTTTGGGTGGGCAGGGGACATTGGCTTCTTTTGCAGCCCTTTATCTGCCCAGACATACACCTTTTATCCCGCCCTTACACCTTCCACAGAGCAGAGAGGGTATCTTTAAAACACCCAGAACTCTGAAGAGCCAAAGGCATTCAGGGCTGTCCTGGGGGGTAACCCGGGCTTTGTGGAAGGCGGGGCCTCTGGGGAGGAGCCTCTGCTTTAGTTCAGCTCCTAGACACTTCTCAAAGACTTAATCCTGCACGGCCTGTTCTCCCAGGACCACATTTCTGACCAGCGCACTGGGACCGCTGGCTGCACCGCACTTTACAGTGACCATGGCCTGCTGGAGTCTCACCGCAACCCCATTCCACAGCTGAGAGAACAGCTGGGCCCCGAGAGCTTGTGATGGGCTCACAGTCACACTGTGGCAAAGGGGCAGGGCTGGGACCCAGTTCCAGTTGGCCTTTGGCCGAGTCCTTCTAGCTGGTGGGGCTTTTTACTCTTCCTTGAGTGTTCCATTCATTGAGACATCCCTGCCCCTCCCCTCCCACACACTTGGGGGTGCTGTTTGGTGTTTCTTGGGGATGTGAAGGGGAAGGGGCTTGGAGCAGAGGAGGAAGGATGGGATGGGAGGTCAGGCAGCATCCAGCTCCTTTGAAATTCCATTTTCCTTTCTGAGGCCTTGCTATTTATAAATGTCAGGGAAATTGTAAACAGCCGGGGAGCTTGGGTTGGCACCCGGGGGGGAAGTTAGACAGCAGCAAAGAAGGTTTCCTTGTGAATCAAGGAAGGAAACTTTACTCCAGAATTTTCCATAGTCTTTTTTTGTTACAGACTAATATGAACCTAGGAAAGCAGGCAGCTGGGGGTGAGTGGGGAGGCTGTAGGATTTGTCCCTCATGACATTTCCTTCCTTCCCTCCTTCCTTGATTCAACACTTGCCTGGGCCTGTGTTCTGTGCCTTGCCCTGTGAGGGCCCAAAAGCCTCCAGGAGGACAAAGCTCTCTGTCCTCAAGATACTTCCCATCCATAGTGATTGAAACAATCATTCGATACTGAGAGTTATTTCAACCCATAAAGGGGTGACTAAATCTGTCAGGGCAACCCAGGCTCAAAAATAAGTAATAGGTTCCCAGCAGTTAAAGGAGTTGAGGGAAAAGACATTCTAAGAAACAGTTTGTACAAAGGTACTGAGGTTTCTTGAGCAGTCCATGGCTAGAATGGCCATGAGGGAACGGTGCAGTTGTGGGAGTTGAGACTGTAAATACAGATTGTAAACTAAGGGTTTGGACTTTATCCTGAAGGCAGTGAGAAGCTGAGAAAGGTTTTGAGCAGAACAACGATAAAAACTCCCACTGATCTGGTGGTTGATGTAGGGGATGCATCAGAAGGGGCAAACTGGAGGCAGGGGGACCAGGAGGAGGGTGTTACATGGTCCAAGTTAAAGAGAGTGCAGGTCTGAACCAGAGCAGTGGCTACCAGGATGGATCAGAGTTGCAGATTCGGGAAGCCCAGCCAAAGGCCTTAGAACCTGCTATAAATTTCATCAAAAAGCAAACAACAGGCTGATAGCTACTGGATAAGGCCGCTAAATTATTTCGAGTTTTGCAGGGTTTTTTGTTTTTTTTTTAAAGTGGGAAAAAATATTGCTAAAGAGTCTAACGTAGAGAAGAGTATAGTGTAAACTTCATCCCTCCAGACCTCTTTCTTTCCCCAGAGGTAGCCATTGTTAGCAGCCTTGTGTGCACTTTACCAAGCTATGATGAGCAAGAGTTGTTGATTGGATGCCTTACACTTCTCAGCCATCCAGTGCCATACGTCACTTTCTTCCTACTCCTGGGGGGAGTTTGGGTCTTTCTTGAGAAATTGCCAGGCAGGGACGCCTGGGTGGCTCAGTCAGTTAAGTGTCTGACTCTTGATCTCAGCTCAGGTCTTGATTTCAGCTCAGGTCTTGATCTCAGGGTCATGAGTTCAAGCCCCGTGTTGGACTCCTTAAAAAAAAAAAGAATTTGCCAGGTAGGTCATTGAGATGATCTCTGCATGATCTGTAGTCCTTTGCTGAGGCATTGATCTCTGGTTTTCTTCAAGCAAACTTTACAGTCTGTATCTACAGCCTCTGAGTGTATATATTTACTTATTAGAAACCACAGGACTGAGAGGAATTAGAAGCACTGATTTGGGAGCGGAGCTGCAGCCTTCATTCTTCTGAGTGACCTTTGGCAAGTCCTGGCTCTCTGGGCCTCAGTTTCCTCATCTGTGAAATGGGGATGATGTTGGCTGGCCTGATTATAACAAAAAGCTGCCTTTTAGTGTATCAACCACAGGGACATTAATTATTTCCTTGATTCCTTACCAGTGTTCCTCTGAAGTAGGCACTACTATTTCCCCTTTTCCAGATGAGGTACCGAGTCTAAATAACGTGCCTCCGGTTTTGTCGTTATAAGATGATGGCACCCGGCTTCTGGAATTCTGACTACAGAGCCCTGACTCTTAATCCCTTCACTAAATGTTATCCTGAAGTTTCCTTGTAGTCCTGACGTGATGAGAACTGCTGGGGTTTTCACAGTGGCTGTGTGCACAGCTTCGGGAGCTCAGCTCCGCAGCAGAGGTCTGAAGGGCCTCCCAGGAGCACCGCTGGGAAACTCATCCTATACTATCAACAGGACTCCAAAGTGTAGGTCAGTCTCCCCTCTGTTTCAGGGAATCAAGGCTGAGAGAACACAAGATCCCTTGCCCTAGGTCACTCCGTGAGTTGGGGTCCCAGCCAGGACCATCTCCCCGCCCTTTGGCAGAAGCAGGGAAAAGCAGGTCCTGGGAGGTATGCATTTTTCGGGGGAGGGAAAGGGAGAGAGCAGTGTTTAGGCAGCCAGGGTATGTTAAATAAAACTGTCTCCTCCCTTTCAACTGAGTGAGCGTGTGTCATATTTCAGCCTGATGTGGTTTGTGAGTTTGTAGCCCACAGGCAGGCTGGGTTCCTGCTGCTCGCCCACTTCGCCCTCCCTGCCCCCCTCCCCCCTACACTCCCCCACCATATGCTTGCTCTCCCCTGCCCTGGCCTGGGACCACATCAGCAATTTGAGGGCAGAGCAGAGAAAAGCAGTAGGTGCGGTGGGCAAGGCTGGGCAGCAGAAGGCCTGGACTTGGGTCCTGGTTTTGCCACTGACAAAGTACTGGGTGACTTGTGCTAATGTGTATCTTTCTCTGGGCCTCAGGGCGCACCCTGCACTACAGGGGTGGGCATGATAATATCAGGCTTTCCTGGCTCTGATGGTCTCTGAGTCAGAGGGCTTTGTGCTCAGCGCATGAACGTGGACCTCAAAGTGAGCCCACAGCAGTCATTATGTTTAACCTGCACCAGCACCAGCTGGAGATGCAGCTGCTGTTAATGACTTTGGTCTTCGTGGCCTGAATTGTTTGCCCCATAGTGCAGATAAGGAAGTTGAGGCCCAAGATTCATTTATGTATCTTATTCCCTGTTCTACAAGCAGTAAGAATCAGGGCCACCATAGGGAGCATGCTTGCTGTGTGTGTTCACCATCTTATTTGGTCTTTTCACAGCCCTGTGAGGGAGGAGATATTGACTCCATTTCACAGACAGGGAAACTGAGGCTCAGCCTAGAGAGATGAAATGATTTACCTTCTTTTCTTTGAGCCTCACAATAGCCCTGAGGTTGTCGTGATGGGCCCTAATTTGTCGATGAGGAAGGTCAAGTCTGGAGATGTGAGCTCCCAAGGGGACTCGCGGCCATTTAGGTTCCTTCCTGGCTCCCTGTCCTAGTCCCTAGCCGGGTCTTGCTTGTTCTGCTTCAGAGGGAACTTCTTGTACCTCTTGCATTCAATGCTTAGACTAAGGGATAACAGGATCCCTGAAACCTGCTCTTCCCCAGGGGGCTCCAGAAATGGTTTCAGCCATAGACTCTCAGGGAACTCAGTGAAGGAGCCACACCAGTGGGAGTAGTTTCATTTATCTTGCTAAACTGATTAAACAAATAGTGTTATTATGTTCCAACCTCAACAAGGATATCATGTGCGTCTGGCTTATTTGCCAAGCAAAAGATAGATGGTATATATGAGCCTTCAGGGTGGGGCCTGGCCCTTAATGTCCTTTGTGTAAGCAATATGGCGAGGCTGGGCCCTCAGTGGACACAGTAAATACTAATTAATTTTTGGGGAGTAGCAAAGTGGTATGGGTGGTATACTCATGGGAAATAGGGTGCTTTTTCCTCCTTTC